GCATATCAGTCACCAAGCACAGCCACAGACATTATTCTAAACATATCACAGACCTCTATATTATCGCTGCACGCACAAACGTATGGCCGAGTGACAACAGCAGCAGAGCTGTGTCAATGAAGCATACAGCTGAACAATCTCACATGCTTAGTTATTTATTTACTATAATTACAGAGCCACAATACAAGCCAAAAGAGACATGACTAATCCCTGCCGAGAGCGACACCTAGTCAGGCTGTGTGTGCAAGACAGCGACAAGGAGGGAGTGATGACACACACACACAAACACACACACCTCAGCCGTGACACATATTTTTGCTTTTGTGCTGGCTGAACTACCCGGTTTTTAATCCCTTTTTGGGGCAGCGTCCTGTGCCATATGTACAAACCTGTTTTCGTGTGCCAGTAATGGTATTACCACCTGTAGCAACAGCCCTGCCTGGGATTCAACTTGTGACGCCAGCTTGCCCATTCCTTGACAGCCTGGGAAAAACAGGCACACCAAGTCTTGGCTGCTGGCTGTCCATCGCTTCACCTATGCCCTCCAAATGTCCTGGCATGGGCTCAGCGGCTCGGAAAAACAAACGAATAGCTGGATCGAGCCAGGTTTTAGGTAGGAAAGCCATGGAGTCCATTTTATGAAGTGCCACAAAGTTAAAGGGGCCCCATATCATCGAAAACTGAATTTTTTCGGTTTTCTAAAATAAAAGAGCTTGACACGAGAGTAATGCTCCTCCATGTGGCAGACTGGAGTTTGATTCCCTACCTCGGCAAGCACACCACACTAAACCAATAAGAGTCCTTGGGCAAGACTCTTAAAGCTACATTCACTTAACTTGTAAGTCACTCTGGGTAAGAGTGTCTGCTAAATTCTGTAAATATAAATAAAAGTAAATCAGCCAAACTGTGAATTAAGTAAAATGCAACTGTTGCTCCAATTAAGTCCCCTTGACCAAAACAAACCTTTTTAATTCTTCATCTTATTAGCTACTAATCCCTAATCACTAGTAAAAAATTTGAGCATTTTATGGATAGGTACTGGACAGCATACTCATTAGCTGTGTTCTAAAAACAAGGCCTGCATTTCCAGAGTGCTACATCCTTAAAGGCTGTTCCAGCCTGAAGGATCCTTTGAACACAACTGAGAAATGCAGCCTACATTCTGATTATTTTCAAGGGCGTTACTGTAGTATTCTTCTAGGTCTACTGTCGCCCATAGTCCTTTGTGCATGTGTCTGACCCAATGAGAAATGCTGACAGATAAAACTAAATCCTACATGTGAAGTAAAATGCAGAATAAAACATACAGTGTGTATTTCTTTAGTTATGTATCTGTTTAAGAGGTTATAAATTGAATGCAGGGTATGAAATGAACCTGCTTTCAGTGAGTTGACCACGTTTTAGCTTGCAGGACAGCACTGAATTACAAACACAATATGTAATACATAAAGCCTACAGACTTCTACTGTACATGAGGATGGTGCTAAAGATGACCCACTTTTTCAGCTCAAGGTTGGCTTTTGCAATGCAGCTATTTTATTAAAGCATACAGTCAAAAGTCTAGAAATATCTGTAAGACACCAATGGTATATTCAATATGGTAGCCTTCAAGATTTCTGGCTCACCAGGAAAATATATTATGTCTTATATGAAAATGTATTATGTGCTACAAATCCAATTCCAAAAAGTATGTGAAATGCTAACAAAAACATAAAGCAGCGATTAGTAAATTCTGTTCGAAAACGGTTCAAAACACAACATTTGACATTTCACCTTCTGAGCTTCATTGTTTTTGTAAATATACACTCATTTTAAATTTGTTGCCTGCAATATGTTCCAAAAAACTTGGCACAGGAGCATGTTCACCACTGTGTAACATCACCTTTCCTTTTACTAGCGCTTAATAATCATTTGTGGACTGAAGACAACAATTTGCCCGGTTTTGAAAGTAGATGTTTTTGTCAATCTTCAGCCGCAAAATCGTACAGGGACTTAGTTGTCTTATATTGAGCTTAATAATGAGACACATGTTTTCAATGGAAGACAGGTTTGGACTGCTGGTAGACCAGTCTAGAACCAGCGTTGTGATCTGGACGTCCCTGAAAAAGATGTTGTCTAGAAGGCAGTCAGAGGTGTAAGTAACAAATTACATTTACTCTCGTTACTGTAATTAAGTACAGTATACCCTGTAATGGTACTTTTTGGAGTATAATTAAATCATAGTACTTTTACTCTTACTTGAGTAAATTTTTAATGAAATACTCAGAAAGCAAAAAGAACGAAGCGCGGTTAAATTTAAAAGATTCACCAATCAAAAAACAGAAGGTCCGGCAGGAAAAACACTACAGAGATGTCCAGTTTAGTGGAGAAGGACAGAGGAGAACTGAACCAGCACATACGAGGAACAGACCGTGTCTAAACGGTCATCTGTATTCATTTTCACATGAACTAAAGAAAACAGCGTTATTATCAGCGACCAAACACGAAACCTGATGAGATCCGCTCTCACAACTCGACTCCAGCCTGAGGAAGCATTAGCCAAGCTAGCTAACCCGAGCTAAACAGGTACTGTGTTTACGGTTTTCTTCTTTCTTTCATAATGTTTATTAAACTTAAAATCTGTCGCGTATATTTTATTACAAGTGTCTGTCAGTTAGCAGGTGTCACCCATATCCCACAGTTTACCGCCTAGTTTAGCTTCCGTTTGAGATAAACGGTTGTGAACGGCTGTGAGACAAGAACTCTAGTCTAATACAGGTTCTTCATACACTCTGGACAGTGATTCTGTCGCTCTGTCGTTGACTGGCCTGATCTGATCCCTCCCTACCTCCCCACCTCCTCCCTCTCTCCCTTCCTACCTCCCTCCCTCTCTCCCTCTCTCTCGCTGTCTCTTCCTCTCTCTCTCTCTCTCTTTTCCAAGGCCAAAACTGAAAGAATAGAACTCCTTTCACTAAGGCTAAAAATAAAGCAGGTGAGAAGCCTGGCAGGGGGGCTAAGAGCTCAGACAGAGAACCATGAGCAGAAATGCAGATATGCAAATCAGCTGCCTGATTATTGAACTAATTATTTGCAAGGGCGAAAAAAAAATCCTGAGCAAATTATATACTCCGCTAACTGACCGACAATGAGTGCCAAAGATTTGTTCCTGTTCTCATTTCTCATAAGCTGAAAGGCGGCGACGGCACACAAATGCTGCACATACATCAGATAGTGTCAACTAATGTGATAATGGAGTCACACAACCGCAATTACACTTGTTGCTTCATTCCCTTACAGTCCGGCTGCATTCCAATCTCGCCTAGAAGAGTTAGGCCAGATTGGGATCCCGAAATGACGCTGGCTTCAGACCAATAGCTTTGGTGCTCATTAGCATCGATTCTGGCATGCTGGACAGGTCGCAGTTGTGACTGGCTGATGAGGAAATGGTGCTAATATGGCAACTGAAAGAATGTTGGCACATGCTAGTGCAGAAGTTCTGCAACTCAGAAGTAAAGGAAGAATCTGGGGAGAAAGATAGTGCCAATTAGATCACTAAACTTTTTATGTTTGTTTTTCCCTTACGGAACTGCCCTGTAGGAAAAATATTGTCTTTTCTACGTGTACAGGGCTCTATTACTCTAAAAAAAGTCTTCTGCATAGGGCTGTTGTGATTAATCACTCATATTTTATTTTTTACCTTGAGGTCCACTATTTGTGATGTTTTATGCGCTAAAATGGTCATAATTCACTTTTACTTGACCATTTTCCAGAATTAAACAGGCGTTTTTTGTTACTGTGCCTTTAAGACTGATCTAAGATACATTAATTATTTTCTGATTGGCTGCTCGTATTATGGCTCATTCAAAACACACTCACTATTGCATTATGATCATTTTTTATCATATTTTAAAATCTCCTATTGTCATGTCTTCAAGTACAAGAGCCTGACAGACACAACCATTTATGTACATTTACAGAAGGGTGACAAAGTACAGGCTATACCTGAAAAACTTAAAGTTAATAAACACAAGTGCAGATGCTTCCAGACATGTGTACTACATGATAGATCCTACCAATTAACATCCTAGCATGCTCTATGGCATATATAAAAATGCTGAGCAGGCCCAGCTGACCTCGATTTTGGATTAAGATGGCAAGAGATGACAATAGTTTCAATGACAAAGACTGCTCAACTGGCTAGAACAGTGACTGAAGTGGCACCTGCATTTAGATCTATGGGAAAGACATTAGTAAACTGAGTTGGAAATTGAACATTCAATGACTGTGAGGCTCATGCAATAGTGTGTACAGAAAACCAACTCAAGTGACTCTAGAATGCCAAAGCTGTACAAGATCAGACTGTCAGGAAGAACAGTCCCTCCACAACTACAAAGAGAGGGATATTATAGAAGGGTTGCAGTTCACAAACCCCTACAGAAATGTGTGAAAAGGTGACATGGTCAGATGAGTCGCCCTTCACCACATTCGCAACAAGTGGGTGAGTGCACGTGCGGTGTACAAAGAGAGAATGGTATAGGCCTGAATGCTCAAACCCTCTAACAACAGGGTCTGGTGGCTCTGTTAAGTTATGTTGGGTGCATTTTGCTGGCATGGTTTGGGTTCACTTGTCCACTTAGAGCAGTGATCACCAACCCTGATCTTTACATTCCTGCAGAGTCTTGTTCCAACAACAATCTGCCACACCTGCTTCACTGATTAACTTCAGTCCTTGAGTGACTGGATCAGAAGCATTAGTGCTTTATAAGGGGAGGGGAGCATGTGAGATCCAGGTTGGTAAGGGTTGTTGGCCACTGCTAGCAGGAAGGGTCGCTGCAAATCAATACAGTTATTCTAACTGATCACCTTCTTACTATTTGTATCCTCACTGGAGTTGTCTCTTCCAGGTTGGCATCCTGGAAGTACCTTAGGGTACTGAATTCTGGTGTTCTGGTGACTTGTGGTTGCCTAACACCTTTCTAAGACACTCTATGTGTTTTTTTTCTTCATCATTTTTCTCCATCTTTTTTCCAATAAAGCAATCCAGAATCTTTTTTTTATTGTTTGGGCTTGTGAGAGTTCTTATTACTCTACTGATTGTCAAACTAATCTGCAGATTCCTCAATTACTAACACAGTTGACAGCCAAAGCCCTACTTCTGCAGGATATCTTCACCCTGTGGTATATGAATAGAGCAGAGTTTAAAACTTAGCCTGTATGACTGCACGGTGCCATGCGAGAATACTCTAATTGCCATACATGAAGGAAGGATCTCAGATGTAATCCCAACACAGGCAGACGTGCTACCGGGATGCAAGCTTCAGAGACTTCAATAAACACACAGGAAGTGATCCAGATGCTGAGGTAGCAGGCTCTTCTTTCGAGGTCACATTGCTGCGAGCACTCCAGAAACCAGCAGAGGATTCGTGAGGATTAGAAGGATGCGGAGGAACAGGTGTGTGCCTTAAAGCGCCGAAAGTGTGCCAAAGACACGGGCCTATTGAAACACTCCATCTGAATGCATCTGGGATCGTAACAACTCTGAACAAAATGGCTGAGGGAGGATCAACTACTTAAGCAGAGTTTTGAAAGGCCTACATGAACATTTTCCATGGCAATTGTGAAGGAAGTGAAGCTCTTGAATGTTCTATTTCTGATTGATTGCCAAGACCACTTCATATATATCACAGTTCAGGGAATTATGCTGCCCGTCACATTCAGAGGAACTGAGTGTGGCAACAAAGTCATTGCGCCCTGAACCCTTGCACTTCATGAAAATTACAGACTCTAAACACCATTTCCCTAATCCCAGGCCCCAAGGCAACACTCGTGGTACGATTGTATGATTTAAAGGGCTCTCTGGGGGCTCAGGCGTCTCAATGTAATTCGCCCTGTATTCATCTTCTTCCACTCACATTAACTCCCCCTTTCGCTCCATTTTGACTCTTCCGCAATCTGAGCAGGAACGATAATCAATATGTAAGATCCCTCTTTCTCTCACCTCCTTCCATCCGACGCTCTGTGATAGCCTCTCTTCAGCTCGGCCTGGTAAATCATTTGAGCGGCGCATGCTGATGGTTCTGGACACGTCTTTTTGAGGAGCGTCCGGGGCGATCATTACCCGGACAATCTGATGGGGCGAGCATTTCAACTTGCACGCAATAACACAATCAATAACTCGGGGAGGAGATGAGCATTCTGTCAGAACCCCTCGAAAGGAGAATTCCATGAATATTTCCCATCAAGAGCGAGACTAAACACTTCTGACGCTCCACGGGGCGGCATTATGAGATCACCTAAGAGTTTCGGAGTGTAATATTGGAATTGTTTCTCGACAGTTCACGCCAAGGAAGCTGTTTGCCTGTACATACAAGCGTATCTCTGATCACTCTCTTTCATTTCTGCAGAAACATAGACTTCTACACATGGTTCCATTATATAGTATTAGAACAAACCCTACTTCGATATTGAAACACAAGAACTACAGCAAGTTATTACAATATAAAGGAACAGAACACCTAGGAACAAAATTGATGTTACAGAGACCAATATTTGAAAAGCACTTCACCTGAGGTTGATTACATCGAGGGATCCAGGACAAACAGCACCGGCACAGCCAGGAGAGAGGGAGAAAGAGAGAGAGAGAGATTTTGATTAGCTATGAGCTACGATAACAATAATGAGATATAAATATTCATAGGGAACCTAAGTGCCCAAGAGGTTTGCGATTTGTGATTGTTAGACTGATAATCAAAACGCTGCCCAAGAGTATAGGAACGCATGATCATTCATCATTATGCTATGTACATCATAATGCCAGAGCAAAGTTGATGCCAAAACTGTTTTAAAGACATACATAAAAACAAATATACATTTAAAACTGTGCAAAAGTCAGAGACCATCTTTTGTTTATTTAATTCCCAGCCAAAAGAGCCATTAAGAACAAGTTGTTCATTTTTCTGAAGATATGTCTGGGGAGACTGGACTGAATGGGAAAGCCAAAGTAAAACAAATAACAGGAGGTACTTCCAAAAGTGAACATACAAAGAAAATGGGACTCAACAACAGTGCAAGACCTAGTAGATCACCAAAACTGTCACCACCAGATAATCGCACTTAAAGCTTTCATCTTTGAAAGATATGAGAAAATCAAGCTCAACTGCTTCAGACCTGGAAAAAATCCACAGGTCTGTCCATCCTTTCACCATAAGAATACAACTCAACGCTATGGGCCTGAAAGGATGTGTAGCCGAGAAAAGGAAAATGCTGCGGTTTTCTCAGAACAATGGACTCACCACCCCCTGAGTCCAGACCTCAACATCAATGAATGTGTTTGGGATCCCTGAACTGCAAGAAGCAGAAAATGCAACCAACTTCTAAGACTGAACTTTGGAGGTGTGGAAAAAAAATCCTTGGTTTCTCTGAAAAACTGAAAGCAAGCCTTCCAAAAAGAATGGAAGCTGTGATAAAAGAGAAAATATCCAACAATTTGACATGATATTTAGACAGAATTACACAGAATTGTCTGCGTAATTTTCTGTTACATATGTTTTCTGCTATTTTCTGGATGCTGAAAAATGAATTACTTAATGTCCATTCTGACCAGAAATCAAATAAATGGTCTGACTTTTACACAGTTTTGTATGCTGTATAGAAAAGCACAGCACATTCACAGACATTATGTTAGTACATAAGAAGCCCAGCACCAGTCAGGTCTGCTGCCACATAACCTTGGCCTTAAGTCTTTCAACAATGGTAGCAACCTATGCTGAGTTACCATGCATTGTAAACTCAACCAGGAATAAACCGTTCATCAGTCCTCTTCAAAAAAAAAAGTCTTGAGTCTATTTCTGATGCAGCAAAAAGCCTCATTGTTCTCTCACTGCCTAAGACATTATCTTAGCAAAGATTAGGTCTCCTTCCAAGTTCAGATGTATTAAAAGTAAAGTAAAAAAAAACTTCTATGACTGTGCATGCATGCATGAGCAGTCTTACAGGGAACGTGAGAGGTGTAGTCTTGAAGGTGTTGACTGAGAGAAGAGGCTCAATAGCTGGAGGGGAAGTGCTTAGCCTACAGGGGAACGGAGGGTGGGGACGCAGAAAGAGAACAATTAGGCCGGCTTTCATCATCAAACAAAGGTTAGATTTTCATGTCAGAAGTGTTTCGTCAGGTTTGAAAAAGCACCGCACCACCTAGCGCACGTGCTGCTCCCATTTAGTTGTGTAGCCAAATGGCATTTACATCTCAAAAAGCCACGAGAGCGCCGGTTCATTAAAGCTTAGAGTGGGATAATTGAAGAGTCCCTCCTGATATCCGACGAAAGGCGAGGAAAACTTTCTGTGCAAGGTGACAATCAAAAAGATCCAGCATTTAACTCTGCATCCAAAATTATGAGAAACGATCCAATTAAAAACGACACCGCCAAAACAATAAATAATACATGCAAGTCTGACAACCAGAGTGTGCCCGTGCAAAACCTGCCCGTTTTACCAACGTGGGCGGAGAGGGAAAAATAAACAGCTAATTAAAAATGTTTATGCTAAACAGGTATTTCAGCTTGGTGGTCAATGAACGGTTGGACGGATGTGTGTTTGCTGTCCCGTTTGGTGTGTTACAGCTCTCCATCATCTGAGCATCTGACATAGTGAAAGTGGCTGCAGAGGAAGGCCAAAGCACTGCGATTGTGGTTAATTATACCAGTAATCTGTTCAGTATATGTTCTTAAAAGCATACATGGCTATATGCACTGCTAAAAAGTAGGGTTGCACAATACCATCTGTTAATCTCTATTATAAGGTTGCAATGTGTAAATTCCAGCTATCAAATCCCACTATTCTGCTGCGTGCTGTAAGCATTCTGACCAGCCTCAGACTTTCATCAGATTCAGAATCAGAATCACTTTATTTTGCCATGTATGTTACACATACTATGAATTTGTTTTCGTGAGTGCACACATGTATAACATGTAAGATCAGACAAGCAAACAGACTGTTCACGGGTATTTGTCTAGGGGAAAATTAAAATACAAATACAATAAATAGAATAAAGAATAATGAATAATAAAGACACACAATGTAAGCCACTTATGCTTTTGGGTCACTGGGGGTACTTCAGCCTATCCCAGCGGTCGCTGGGCATTGAGTTACCACAACCCTATCTGGATGAAGCAGCTTAAGGTGAAGATGATGATGATAATGAAGAATAATAAAGAGCCATGGAAAAGAGCTAAAGAGATGTATGAAAATCTATACATATGCAAATAAGAATGCCTATGCATATGCGGGTCTGATGACATATACTATAAAAACTATTATATATACACAGAATATTACAGAATGATATGAAAAATTAACATCTGTACAGTTGTGCAAATAGCATTATGTTACAGAGGAGTTACTGTAGGGAGGTTTGTTGGTTTAGTTTGATTTAAAAAGGTTTGGTTTAAAGTGTAAGGTGGTTAATGAGTGCTACAGGGGAAAAAGTTGCTAGCATGTCTGGTTGTGCTGGTTTTGGTGGCCCTGAATCTTCTACCAGAGAGAAGTGGCTGGAAGAGGTGATGTCCAGGATGAGACAGGTCAGCTGTTACTTTGCTGGCGCACTTAATCACCCTGCTGTTGTAGCATTGGTGGACTACATCCAATGCTCCTCTCCACTGTCCTGATTATGCACTAGAGTTTGTCTCGTTTTTGTGAGGTGGAAAAACCAAACCAGATGGTTATGGACGATGTGAGGATGGACTTTGCTTTTGGCCATAGAGTGTATGCAAATGTTCTCTGTTCTGATTGGCTGCTCTGTATTAAGCCTCATTCAAAAAGCAGTCCATAGTGAAACACTCCTTATAACACAAATGGGTGGGACTACACCTCTGTAGTCTGTGTAGGTGTGCATATGGAAATATGTTGGTTTATATGACATCAGAGAAACAGTGAATTCAAAACAAACTCTTAGTTTACATATATGGAGTGAAGAGTGAACCATATATTTTTTTTAAACTAACAATACATTCTACATCTACTCTTTTCTTTAAAAAGCAAAGCAAAAAGTGGGCTTCTGTATTACGGGCCCTCAGTATGACCATAGACATGAACTAACAATGTTCTATTTTGACTATATTTGAAAACATTTTAAGGTAATGTCTAGCAATATAATCCCAATATGATATGTTGTTCACAGTACACAGCCCTAATAGAATGTATGCATGTGTCAACTTGTGTGTACAATCATCAATCTGCTTAAACATGGCAACGGTATATAATATTCCCATGAAGAGAAGTGCACCACACTCAGAGACAGGCTTTGCAGACATGCACACTGCTGCAAAGACAAACTATTATCTCTGAAATGGTAACTTCACAAGAGAAGGAAAAGATATTCACTTTAATGAATGTTAATGTAATAAGATTTTATTTGAAGAAATCTTAGTCCATTCCTATTGATCTATTCATCATGAGCTGTTCACAGAATGTAAAGCCCAGCTGATCTTTTCAACTAGTGTAAATGAATTGTAGTTATAGTTATGAAGTTTTAAATGACAGTAACAATATGCCTTCTATGCCACAGTCATACAAAGTCATACATAATGACAAAGTATATAGCAGCCCTAAATGGAAAAATATGAGGTGAGGTGTAAAGCAGGAGAGAGAGAGAGAGAGAGAGAGAGAGGGAGAGAGAGGGAGAGAGAGATGGGATGGTGAGGTGATGCGAGTGGGGCTGCTGTCACCTGCTCCCTTCTTAAAGTGATGTGGCACTCGAATTAATAACCCTCACCAGCATGGCAAAGCACCTTCTGGCAAGAGTCAACTGCCACAGGGAGTGCATGCCCGTGTTTCTATCTGTCTGTCTATAATGAGGTGGTTTCCGGAGCCAAACCTAGCGAGGTCGTTGTGGCACCATAACTTACAGTCTTACCTGCAGTCACTGCAGATATATATCTTACAATTCACTCAATACTACTATGTAGGGATTTCGATCCAATCTGAAAAATCAGTATCGCAGCCAATAAAGATGTATAAAATCTGTTTACACCTCAAATTAAAATGAATTTTTGGCGATCGGATCCCGTTCAGATTTCACATGCACGCACGAAAAGCCAGGCTTAAACAGCCCCAAGACATGACTGGATCACTCAAACCACATCTGGAGGTGGTCATAGACAGATCTTGACCGCATTTAACACAAGAGTAAACGGAATGTGTTTTCATTATCCGTGTGCAACTATGTGAGCGGAAATGCATCTGCTGATTGCTGACTAGCAGGTAAGAAAAACAGCGAAATGAAAGATGGAGGATACAAGAGGCTGAAGTTAGCCTGAAATCAAGAGCCTTCATGCACTCCAGGCTGATGAAAGCATAAAACCAAGCTTGTCCACTTGCATTGTGATGGGAAAAAAGTGTAAACAAAAGTAAAATGGAAACGTTGCATGTGCTGAGGTGTTTTTAAAAGCACAGTTGGATCTCATCTGGTCACATTGGGGGACGCTTTTTAAAGAAAAGTCTAAATGGAATGCGGCCAAAGTTTATCCAGATATGACACTAAACACGTTAATGCAAACTTTAAACAGGCTCATT